TAACTTTTGTTTGAAAAACTTTTAATTTTCCCATTTTCCAATTTCCCTTATTCATTTAGTATTTCCTTATTTTCTTATTTATCACATTCTATTTTCCCCGCAAAACTTAGGGGGAAAAATAAATGCAAATGAGGAGTGGCACGTCATCAGGCTACACCTTCCCCAATTGGTTGGTTAGCGTCACACCTACTTTGCTTTCAAGAAAGATGGCGACCTACTAACGGGTTATCAATAAGCAGAAGCTCATCAACTTCATTAGAAAATAGTGTTATTACTCCTGACTTTATTTTTGTGTGGCCGCTCAGACAGAACGTGTTTCAGCTGGCGGCTCTCATGGACTCAGAGCTTCACCGTCGGGGTTTTTTTATAGTTTGGACGAAGCGGCCGCTGAAGTTGGCTTACGATTGAAGGTTCAGGACGCCTTCGTAGCTACCAGCTGTGATCCAACTATAAGGAGCAGACTTTACTGTACATCGTAAGTGAAGTACAATATCCAGAGGCAGCTCTATGGAGCATCGAGCTGAGAGAGTGAGAGTGCCAAGCCTTGGAGATCTGCATCGGAGGCCATCTTTCAGACATGGTGGACCGCTGCTGTCCGTCCAGGATCCTCCGGTTGCCCAGACGTTGCACGGTAAGCTAACGCTGATGTTTGTTTTCCAACTACAGTCATATTTAATCAATAGGTGCTCAATTACGATAGCGGAAGGTTTTGAGTTGATCTCAGCAGTAGGTGACAAACTGAACGCCGCCAGGATGTTGAGACCAGCACGTCCTCTGATTAAAATATAGATTAATGAAAAATGGGTAAATAGATAAAGGGATAAATGAAAAATGGACAAATGAAAAATAGATAAATAAAAAGGGGAATAGAGAAATTGATGATCTGAAAAATAAATAAATGAAAAATTGGGTTAATGAAAAGGGAAATTGAAAAGTGGTTAAATTAAAAAATAGCTTAATGAAAAATGGGTAAATAGATAAAGGGATAAATGACAAATAGATAAATGAAAAAGAGAAATTGGGAAATTGATCATTTGAAAAATAAATAAATGAAAAATTGGGTTAATGAAAAGGGAAATTGAAAAGTGGTTAAATTAAAAAATAGCTTAATGAAAAATGGGTAAATAGATAAAGGGATAAATGACAAATAGATAAATGAAAAAGAGAA